ATGGTGCTACCAGACAAGGGCACTCCACTTTCCATTCCTGAGGGGACTCCAGGGATGCTGGCGAGCTCTGTGTCTCCCCAGTGGTGGCAGGTAGGAGGGGAGAGGCCGTCCCTTTCTATTCGGGCTCTGCCAGGTTTTTAAATTTTTAAATCATGGTGAAAATTGGTTCCAGTTGAGTGTAGGGGCCAGCGCTCTCAGCACAGCCCCTTCAGCTCTTAAAGGGACTGGGGCCAAAGTCCGGAGTTCCAGCAGAGGAAGGTTTGTCCAGAACAAAGAACCCATGGTCTGGTGTGGCCCTAGTGGCTGTACAGGGGCCTGGCACCCAGAGCACAGCTACAGTCAGTGGGAGCCCCGGCCCAGGCTTCTGTAGCTTCAACGACTGCTTTCCTTCTTGAACACTCTCTCGGCCTTCAAGGGCACGCTGACCCCGGGAGCCCCCGCTTGAGTCAAAGTAAACATCCATCGTCTAAGAGGCACTAATTTGGTGGAGCCGGTGAAGTCCAGGTTCCCAGAGCGACCGGGCGGCATCTTCTGGAACCTGGCGGAGGAGCCGGCCGGGGCTGCTAGATGCCCTGCAGGGAGTGGTTGGGATCACTGCGCTCCCGCTTCACCAGGGGCTCGCCCAGGCTGTGGGCATCCGGGCCCGCCTCGCTGCCGCGCTGCTCATCACCCATGTCGTCTGTGGAGGGAGGGGTGGGGTCAGTGTCCATCATCAGGAGGCCATGGGAGGGAGAGACGGAAGCGCATGTTCCAAGAGCTGCTCCGGCACGCCAGGCAGGGTACTAAGGACACATGGCAGCCCGTGGACCCCACCTTGGCCTCTGCTCCAGGCTGACCTGTCCTCTCCCACCTACCTGGTCACCCAGAGGTGCCCCCAGGTCGGGCCAGGCGAAAGAGCCTCTGCCCTGTGCCTCTCTTCCCCAGGGCCGATAGGCCTGGGGCCTGCTCCCCACAGGGCTGGGGCCTCTGGGGTCCTCCTCCCACCCGCGTGGAGCAGGGACGGGGCCCAGGGGCTCCTCTGGCCTGCCTGTCCCACTCTACTGCTGGGCATGGGCGCAGGAGACCAGAGGCTGCCTGGTCCGGACCTGGTGCTGAGGTCCCTGGGCAGCGGCTACCCAGAGGCCGGCAGCACTCTGAGCCCCAGCCGAGCCAGTCTGCAGTGGCGCCTGCTGCCCAGGGCCCTCACCCACTATCTGGACGCCAGATCCCAGGGCCCTCACCCCCCAGGGGCTGCCCCCATTTCCACCTGCTCATCATGAGGTGAGGCAGACAGGCCACGGCCAGGAGTACCACCCTCCTGGGAGGGCTGTGGCGGGAAAGCCGCAGACACACCCACCTTTGTCAAGCAGCGTCAGCGACAGAGAGGCGAGATCGTTGAACTGAAAGAGAAACCTGGAGTCAGGGGCGCCTGCAGAGGGGTGGCAGTTGCTGTTTGGGGGCTCTGGGGATGCTGGCCCAACCTTGCCTTGAGCCACGTCCTCCATTCACAGTAAAGCAGCTAGGGTCTGCCCTGAGAAGTGGCTCTGATGCTGCCAGGCGTCTGGGTGGGTCCCTGTCCCCTGTCCAGGCCGCCTCTGGGAACTGCTAGGGGTGGAGGGTGCTGACTGCTCGAGGCAGTGAGGGGACAGGAGCTGGTTCCCAAGGTCCCCTGGGTGTGGCTGCTCTGGGTTTTAAGGTGGCATGGAAGGGCCGTGGGCCAAGTTATCTTTGCTCCCTGAAGTCTGTGTACAGCATGAAAACCACTCCTTGGTGGCCCCAGAGCCCGGCGTCCACGCCGACACGCAGAGAACAGACAGCTGCCACAGCCTCTGCACACGCTGTGCGGCCCCGGCCACTGACTCTGAGGGTGCTGTGGCCTCTGGGTAGTAAGAGGGCAGGGACCCTGCCATTCATCAAGCATCACCTCGTTTCTTCCTCGAGGCAAACCCATGCAGCCCAGCAAGTCCACTCCAAGCCATGGACCCCAAAGAACTGAACACAGGTGTGCACACAAAACCCGCCCACAAATGCCCACAGCAGCGCCATTCACAACGGCCACAGAGAGGGAGCGACCACGCAGCATGGAGGCACGAGGGTCAGCGCAGCGCGGCCAGCCACGCACTGGAACACAACTCAGCCAGGAGAGGAACCAGGCTCTGACCCGGGTCACAGAGCAGACGTCATGTTCAGTGAGAGACACTGAACACAAAAGGCCACAGTGTGTGATCCCATTTCTATGAAATGTCCAGGACAGGCCGATCCACAGAGGCAGGAGGGGGCTGCGTGGGGGCTGTGCTGCAGGAGGGGCTTGGGAGTGACTGCTCCTGGGACGGGGTTTCCTTTTGGGGTGATGGAATATTCTGGAACTGGACAGTGGTGTCAGCTGCACCTTGTGAATGTGCTAAACGCCACTGTATTGTGCGCTTTAACATGGAAATACCACCCTATGTGTATGTCACCACGATACGAAGAACACTCTGGGCGGTGTGTCCAAGGCCTCCCCTGCGTGGCAGGACACCCAAGGACAACTCCTTCCAGAGCCAGCGGTCTGATGGTGACTGTGAACTTGGACAGAGCCCCAGAGCCTTCCCGGTGCTGATCAAACTGTGGTTTGGATGTTTTGGAAGACACTGCTGTGTCCTGGCATGAGCGGGCCCGTTTCTGTGGCTCTTTACAGAGCTGTGGATCTGTCTGGCGGCAGAGCAGCGGGACCTGTGCATGTCCTCTCTCCGGGCTGCTCAGAGCACACTGCCCTCTCCCCACAGGCCTGGTCAAGCCCCGGCCGTCCCGCCCAGGAGGGTCCTCACCTCTCCCATCACAGCGATCGGCGTCTCTCCGGTGGCCTCCGCGACGCGGTGCTCCACCAGGTAGAACATGTACTCGTCGTAGAGCAGGCGGATGAGGTGGAAGGAGCCGAAGCTGGCAGCGCTGCGCAGGGTCAGGTCCCGGATCACCATGGAGCTGGGGACAAGCGGACAGAGGCTGGGGACCCTCAGGGGAGCATGGAACCCAGGTCCCGGGCCAGGCTTCATGGCAGCAACACGCTCCCTGCTCTGTGTTCCCTGGGGAACCCAGACCCTGAGTGATCCTAAGACCTGCCGGCCTGTGGGGGGCCGATGACTGCCGAGACCCTGGGCCCAGCGTGATGGATGGGTGGGGCAGGCCTGCCCACTCAGTTCCAGAGACCGCCTGGGGGACAGGAGAGGGAGACGGGCAGTCAGCCCCAAAGCGACAGGCTGCTGGAAACACAACTGCGGCTGGTGCTAGCACAGGCGCTGGACGGAATCGTGGCTGGTGATTCCAGTGACATTTCGGACTCCGAATCAGAGCACAGGCTGGCAGCTGGTGCCTGTCTCCCCAGCAGGAGGCGCCTCTCCCCACCTTCCCCGTATCCTTGCCACCTCCCGCCATTCCTCAGCCCGTGGTTTCAGGCACCTAAACACAAGACAAAAAGCCAGGGTGCTTTAGTCTCTGTCAGCGAAAGCAGGAGTTTCAGAGACTTCAGCCCAGATCCAGTCCTCATCCAGCCGTCAGCCTGTGAGCTGAGAATGCTTTACATTTTGAAATGGTTGGAAAAAGTCAAAAGAATAATTATATTCGGTGGCATGTGGAAATTACATGAAATTCACATGTTGGTGTCTACAAACAGTTTCACTGGCACGTGTCATGCCCGTTCCTATATTGTCTTTCCTAGGATGGCTGCAAATACTACCTGGTTCTTTCCAGGAGAGGCGGCCCCTGACCTGAAGGATCAATATAAGACCAAAAGGGGCTGGGCCCAGTGGCTCACGCCTGTAGTCCCAGTACTTTGGGAGGCCAAGGTGGGCAGATCACTTGGGGTCAGGAGTTGGAGACCAACCTGGTCAACATGGTGAAACGCCATCTCTACTAAAAATACAAAAATTAGCCAGGCATGGTGGCAGGCGCCTGTAATCCCAGCTATTCGGAAGACTGAGGCAGGAAAATTGCTTGAACCGAGAGACAGAGGTTGCAGTGAACCGAGATCATGTCACTGGACTCCAGCCTGGGTGACAGAGCAAGACTCCATCTCAAAAAAAACCAAAAACCAAAAAACAAAAAAACCCAGAATGAAGTGGAACGACGTCTCAGTCCTCCTATGAGACCTCAATGACCCACATACTCAGACCCACAGTGGCGCCTGGTTAAAACCTTTGGCGTACAAGTCAGGTGGTCCCCAATGCCCAAATGCCCCGTCTCGAACTAAGCTTTCATAAACTCTCAGTTACGTCTTATCAGTACTGTAGCAATAACAAGAACACACAGGCTGGAGAAAAGCAAAGACAGCCGCACTGTGAAGACCACCAAAGCTGTCTATCCTTAGGTGTCAAGCACAGTTGCAAAGCCCCCAGCCCCCTTCTGTTCCCCTGGGCCCACCCAGCTTGAATCCCAAGCCCCCTTTCCCCAAAGGCCTCCCCCACGCAGATGAGGTGCTGGCGCTCTGCACCCAGCTTCCCCACAGCCCCGGTGTCTGGTGCGATGCTTCAGTCCGAAGTATTTCCGGAACACCGCCTGCGGTCACCTCGGCATCTCCGGGTTCCCAAATGGGCTCGCAGCTCCCAGAGGGCAGGAGCATCGGCCAGCCACCATCAAGGGAGGCCCAGCCAGAGCTTGGGGATGATCAGCCAAGGCCTCAGCCCACATGCTACCATTTTCCAGTGGGTGCTACAGAAATAAATCCCGTAAACCTAATTTTTATTTTTGTATGACGGCACTGCACATGCGTAAGAATGGAGTCAGGCCGGGTGCGGTGGCTCACGACTGGAATCCCAGCACTTTGGGAGGCCGAGGCAGGTGGATCACCTGAGGTCAGGAGTTTGACAGCAGCCTGGCCAATGGTAAAACCCCGCCTCTACTAAAAATACAAAAATCAGCCGGGCCTGGTGGCGGGCACCTGTAATCCCAGCTACTCAGGAGGCTGAGGCACGAGAATCGCTTGAACCCGGGAGGCGGAGGTTGCAGTGAGCCGAGATCGCGCCACTGCACTCCAGCCTGGTGACAGACCGAGACTGTCTCAAAAAACAAACAAACGAACAAGAGAATGAAGTGGAACAGTGTCTCGGTCTCCCTTGTGAAGAGCACCCCCACCTTGCAGACGTGACCCCGATCCCCTCCAGCTCTGAGCTGTGCTCTTCTCTGGCTGGCAGGTACCTCAGTCCTGTGCTCACTCTGCTCTTCTCGATTCTGCCGCTTGCAACCTTCCTCTGTCCATGGAGATGGGCATCAGCATCCCTACACTGTCTCTTCCCTTGCTCTCCCTCCCATTACCCCAGTGTGGCTTTGTGGTAATTTCTGGCTACACTGGTGTTTCTGTTACGTGGCAGTGGTGTGCTAGGCCCATGGCAGAGCCGCGCAGTCTGTTAGGCATGTGGTTCCTCTCATTCATTCACTCAGCCAGCATTTAAACAGAAGCGAGGTCCCGCACCCAGGTAGCGTGCCTGATCATGCAGGAGACAGACAACAGACAAGTGAACAGATGACGAGAGACAGGTGACGGTCAGTGCCCAGAGAGAAGCAGGGCATGGGGGAAGGCGGGACAGAATGGGCCGTCCTATTTTCAGAGGCTGGGGGTGGGGGGTTTCTCCGCATGGCTGTCTGGGGGAAAGATGTTCCAGGAAAGGGGCAGGTGGAAAGGCCCTGAAGCAGCGTGGCCAGGGGAGTGTGTAAGGAGGGAGCTGAGGGGTTGGCACATTTTTTTTTTTTTTAAACTGAGACAGAGTTTGGCTCTTGTTGCCCAGGCTGGAGTGCAATGGCACGATCTTGGCCCACTGCAACTTCTGCCTCCCGGATTCAAGCGATTCTCCTGCCTAAGCCTCCCAAGTAGCTGGGATTTCAGGTGCCGGCCACCATGCCTGACTAATTTTTATATTTTTAGTAGAGATGGGGTTTTGCCATGTTGGCCAGTCTGGTCTTGAACTCCTGACCCCAAGTGATCCACCCACCTCAGCCTCCCAAAGTGTGGGGATTACAGGCATGAGCCACTGCACCCAGCCAGGCAAACTCGTTTTCATGCTTGCCAGATAGTAAATACCGTCAGCTTTGTGCCCAACAGTCACACTGTTTGTTTGCATTGACAGCTGTAGCTGATCTGTGAATGAATGCGTGTGGCTGAGGTTCCAATAAAACTTTATTTGCACAATGGGCTGGGGCAGTGATATGGTTTGGCTCTGTGTCCCCACCCAAATTTCACCTTGAATTATAATGATCCCCACATGTTGTGGGAGGGACCCGGTGGGAGGTAATTGAATCATGGGGGCAGATGTTTCCCATGCTGTTCTCTTGGGAGTGAATAAGTCTCATGAGATCTGATAGTTTTATAAAGGGGAGTTCTCCTGCACACACTCCCTTGCCTGCCGCCATGTAAGATGTGCCTTTGCTCTTCCTTGGCCTTCTGCTATGACTGTGAGGCCTCCCCAGCCATGTGGAACCGTAAGTCCATTAAACCTATTTTTCTTTATAGATTACCCAGTCTTGGGTATGTCTGTATCAGCAGTGTGGGAATGGACTAATACAGGTGGGGATAACAATTTGGCCCTGTGGCCATAGCTCACTCATGCGCTGCGTCATGCGGGGCCTGTCAGCCACAGAACAGCTTTGTGTTTTCCTGGGGTAATAACTGGCTCTTTTTTAAAAAATGCTCACTTTTCCATGTACTCATGAGACTAAAACTCCTGACAGAACTGCAGGAGGCATCTTGGTGCCTTTCCTGGGGACGATCCCTCTGGAAGCCTTGGCTCCCCTGCCCTGGTCTGCACAGGGTAGGTCTGTAGCTTGGAAATAATTTCCCATCAGAACTCTCAGGACATCGCTCTACTGCCTTCCAGGTTTCTGCACATTGTTCAGAAGTCTAATGCTGCTCCCATCCCCAGCCTGTCGCTTTCTGTCTGGAAGCTTTTATGGCTGTTTCTTAAGCTTGGTGTTTTGAAATTTCACCCGGAGCCTCCCTGGGAAAAGTCAGCAGCTTTCTCAGTTTGGAGACTTGTGCCCTTCAGTTCTGAGACAGCTTTTTTTTTCCCCCCCCTTAGAGATGGGGTCTTGCTCTGTCACTCAGGCTGGAGTGCAGTGGTGCAATCTTGGCTCACTGCAGTCTGGACCGCCAGGGCTCAAGGATCCACCCACCTCAGCCTCCCAAGTATGTGGGACCACAGGCACATGCCACCACGCCCAGACAAGTTTTTTAACTTTTTGTAGAGGTCGTGGTATTTTCCCCAGGGTGGTCTGGAATTTCTGATCTCAAGCTGTCCTCCTGCCTTGGCCTCCCAAAGCGGTGGGATTATAGGTATGAGTGGCTATGCCCAGCCCCCAGTGATTATTTCTGTCTGCAGAACTTGCAACTTAGTTTTTAGGCTACGGTCGCCTTCTGGGCCTGCCCCTGGGAGCCGCTGGTCACAAGTGAGGCCCCCAGCCATGTACTTGTTTTTTGGGGGTTCAGGCACTGCTGGAACTCTGCTGAGCCCTGTTTTTCTCTGAGCTCACCAGCCGAGCTACCCCTTAGAAGTTTGCCTCGGAGCCCCCCACCCGCCAGAATTCTCTCGGAGGTCTGGCAGGACTAACCTGTAAAAGGACCATTTCAGCAGGAACTGCCGGGCGGCCTTGGGGAAGCTGGGGCTGCCGGCATGCTGCTTCAGGACCTGGGTGACCACGCTGTCCAGCCAGCTGGCCCACTGGTCCAGGGAGCTCTGCTGCTGCAGGGTCAGCTTGAAATCCTGCTCCAGCCGCTGCACCACACTCTCCTCACACTGGCACACCCACGAGGCCTGCTCCTGTGGGCGGGGTGGAGGCCAGTGTCAGCAACACAGACCCCCAGCCACAGCAGCCCCCACCGGACCTAGCTGTGCTCAGGGCGGGACATCATGCTGTGCTTGAGCCTTCTCGTCCTTGACCTTGACAGCTGCAAGCCACACCCTGTGTCCCCCATAACAGGGGCAGAATAGACAGCCAAGGGGGATCCGACCCGGCTTCCGGGGACTCATACCCGGGTCTTTCTGGATCAAAGCTCATGCTATACGAGGTCTTCATTTCGTTTTGTTTTAAAAGGGTGACTTCTAACTGTGTGTGTGCATTTATTTACTTAATGGATAAACCCAGGGCCTGAAATAAGCATAGCTCTGAATCTGCTGTGGGCTGGTACTTTGCCAAACCCAGGGGACAGAGTCAGGAAAATGGCCACAGGGAGGTCAACGTGCTGCCAGGATCCTGGAAACCAGGAGCCTTTGTGAGGAAAATGAGCAGCAGTGTTGGCCACAGCACCTGGATGCCAGAGGGCCCTGAGAGATGATGGAGTAGAGAGAGCTGGGGGCTGTGGGTGGGCTTTGGCCTGGGGCACGTGTCATGCGACAGAACTGTGGCCAGGCTCGGAGCGGGGGCCAGGTTTGCCATGGGCTCCACTCGGGGGGTTTGCTGGTTTTGCTGGAGGGCGGGAAGCCCAGGCCCGGGGGACGGCGTGGAGGAGGTCACCTGCACGTTGGCAAAGTCCACGCGGTTGAGGTCGCTGAGCATCTGGTTGATCTGGGACGTGTTCTGCAGCACCGCCCGGGCCGCCTGCGCCAGGTGGTTGAGGGACGTGTAGCGCCGCAGCGTCTGGGCAAAGGCACTGACGACGCCCACCTGTAAGCCAGGGCTCGTGGTGAGCAGGGTTCGCGGGGAAGAGCCTGTTCCGCTGCGCTCCTGGCAGGGGTGCCGGGGCTCAGGGACAACACAGGGAGCAGGGAGCAGGAAACAGCAACCTGGGCAGGGAAGAGGGAAGCCCCTGCTATTCTTAGGGACGCAGTGAGTGAGAATCGGTGAAGCGGAGACCTCGCCGGTGCATTGCACGCGTCGCTAACCGAAGCCCGCGTTCCGCTGAGTTAGAATTCACAACCGGCCCCATGCCCACTTCTAGAGTCCCTGTGGCTCTCTGGAGGGGCTGTTGAGACCACAGATTCCTGGGTGCTATAGGGTCAGACTTTTAGTGGGTGTGGCCTGGGAATCTTATTTTTAAGAGATGGCGTCTTGCTTGTTGCCCAGGCTGGTCTCCAACTCTTGGCCTCAAATGATCCTCCTGTCTCGGGCTCCCAAAGTGCTGGGATTACAGGTGTGAACCACTGCACTGGCCCTGAATCTGAATTTTTAACAATGACCTGATCCATGCTTGCACCACTGCCTAACAGATCAATTCCAAAGAGCAGGCGGGTGCCCTGCAGCTGCCTCCTCTCGCCCAAGAGCCCTTCAAGAAATGCTCATGATGGCCAGGCGCCGTGGCTCACGCCTGTAATCCTAGAACTTTGGGAGGCCGAGGCAGGTGGATCACCTGAGGTCAGGAGTTCGAGACCAGCCTGGCCAGCATGGCGAAACCCTGTCTCTATTAAAAATACAAAAAAATTAGCCAGGTGTGGTGGTGGGTGCCTGTAATCCCAGATATTCGGGAGGCCGAGGCAGGAGACTCGCTTGAACCTGGGAGACAGAGTGAGGCTCTGTCTCA